GGTTACCGATCGGTAAGAAGCGGTTCGTCTATGGTAACAGTCTGTTTCCTGAAAATGCGGTTTATGCGTGGAACGCTTCGGTTCAGCTTTGGTTTGGCTTTGATGCTAGATGATAGAATATTATCCTCTTAAAAATATATTTGTAATAAGCAATTGTCAGGAATGAATGTAGTATTCACCGCTTGTCCCATTTTTACCGCAATTACATGTTCAAAGCGGAAGAAAAATAAAAAAAATTAAAATATTATCACCTAACCTAACAAACAAATATCAGAAATTGAAAACAAATCGAAAAAACCAAGCTTTTTGATCGGTAGATTGGGTTGACAGTTGTGACCGAATTTTTCAGGAACCGCGTTTCATAACCTAACCAGATTACAGGAGTGGTTAGGTTACGGAACGGAAACCGGAAAAACCAAGAATCTTGGTTAACTTACGTAACGTTGCCTTAATTTTGTCACAGTGTTGCCAACTTCACACCTTAAATAGTTTCGTTCTTACACACAAGTCCACTATAGACATTTTCGATTAACTAGCGTTCTTGGTCTCGGTTGACATATAAATGAAATATTTTTGACAGGGGTTTTAAGTGGTCCTAAAATAATGACGTAGTGTCATTTCATAAAACTAATACGATTTTCCGGTTTCTAGTCACATTTTTGGTAAACAAGCTACAAGCTAGACAAATTTAGTTTGAGCGGCAACATTGATCAAATTTACAGGCAGTGAATTATACATATGTACACTGCCAAGCATAAAATTAGGGTCACCCCATAATTTGCAATTATTTTTAAAATTTTTGGTTTTTGCGAATTGTTTTTTTTTTGGTGTAAAGTTCACTAACTTTATGCGATGATTTTGTCGTAGTTGCTTGAATTTAAAAAAGTTCTTGTTGTTTTGCCCCAAGTTTTGCTTGCAAATTATGGGATGACCCTTATTTTATGCTCGGCAGTGTATAATGCCGCACATATAGGATTTTTACCCTATATTTAGGATGACGTCACATTTAGTAAATTTCTGCTGCCAACCAAACAAGACTAAAAGTACTTTTCGACGCATTTAAAGTAGGGGAATTTCAGCGCGCGACGTCGCATCATTTTTATAAACATTTTCAAATAAATAACGCGTGTCGATTCATTTCGTTATTTTTAGCTGTCAGTGGTCTTGATTATTTATTATGACATTCTGGTAAATTATAAGAAAACAAATAGGCATTGACAACATTATCTGTCCTTGTTCTTTGATGTCATCCTAAATATAACATAAAAAACCTATACCATAACGACCGGTGCCAAATTAATAGTATATTATGCAATGATCATGTAATGATAGCCATTAATACACGAGCATGTTGTAGGATACGAAACGAGCCGCAGGCGAGTTTCGTATATAACATGCGAGTGTATTAATGGCTATTACATGAGAGTTGCATACACTATTTTTTCTACTGCCATTGATAAAATTTATGATATTTAGATATACCTATGTCAACATTATGCTTAACTTTGAATAGAGATTTCATAATTGAGTAATCCATACAGTTGAAGGTTTAATTTTTTGTTGTAATTCTTCAAAATATACTATCAAAACATTTTCTGAGAAGGATGATGTGTTTTTGGTGTTTCCAATCCATAAATTGTCCATATAATTCTTTGTAAATTTTCTTGGACTTCTCCGGTAGTATATTATTACCTGCATTTGTCGCCCTTTCTGTAATTTCTGGAGGTGTTAGTGAAAATTCTTCGTTATTCGTTATCGCTCAATATTTCCATAATAATGCCTTCTCCCAAACTTAAGGTATTAACTTTTAATAACATTTGAGGTATTTTTGTTTATAAAGTTATTGTTTCTTGCTAAATTACCATGGAAAAGCTATAAACAGAGTGCTGCCAACATTCAAAAAAAAAAATTAATTTTTTTTTAACTGATGGCGCCATCTATTGACAATGTACAATAATGACAAAAGTAAAAATTCTTCCTTATCATTCATTATTTCCATAATAATTATTCTTTGTCCCAAACTTTAGGTAACTTTTAAACAATTCGGTGTCTTTCTTATAGTTATCAAAATAATTGTTTTATGCAAAATTGCCATTTAAAATGTTTAATATCTTAACTAGTGCTGCCATCTATCAACATTGTATAATATTAAAAATGAGTATTATAATGAAAATCTGTATCGTAATGAAGCTCATTATGATACAAATTTTAATCGTTTAATAGCGTATTATGAAATGTCAGTAGAAAATAGTTATTTTTGTATCTAGTGCGCGAAATGCCATTTTGGTGAACGAGAACGAAAGTTTTTTGACGACGCGAAGCGGAGTCAAAAAATCGTTCGAGTTCACCAAAAACATTTCGCACACGAGTTGCAAACAACGTTTTTTCTACACAGACAGAATTAAACTAATTTTGGGTAATATTAAAATTGAATAATTCAAGGAAATTCTATTTCAGAACAGCCTGTTAACTGGTTGCTACGGAATTTTTTTTTAACAAATAATGACACACCATGACACACTGCTTGTCAAAGTTTTTTCCCAAGGTCTGACCGACGCGGAATCATTTCGGCAAAAAATGTTGATAAGAAATAGAAACTGCAGAAGAATTTGTAGTTCCCAATATAATAATACAGCTACTTCTCAAAAAACGATGATGTTCGCACAAAACCGTCAAATAAATGATTGAAACCATAATTCTAATGTATTTCGAGGGTGAATCGAAAAAGTTCAATATCCTGCACTTATTCAATTTGAGACAATTTGAGTGGGTAGGTACCCCAGAAAATATGGGTTTTTTTTCTGATATTTACACTTTGTCGTTAAATTTTTTTCCATTTATGTATTTTTAAAATATCACCACTGAGCGTGCACGAAGTATTTCGTGCCCTAGTGCGCGAAATATTTCGTGCACGTCGTTAAGGTAAATAAAACCAATGTGACATTTTTCGAACGGAAATCAGTGTGAAAATGTCATCATTTTTTGACGTCTGTAGAAAAATAATATTTATTTACATTACAAGTGCGTTTATGAACATGATTACAATAACGAGTGTGAAAGATTAGAACGACGAGGTCGTAGACCGAGTCGTTCTAGTCACACGAGTTTTGTAGTCATGTTTAAACGCACGTACAACGTTTTATCTTCAACGCGAAAAATTAGAATATTTTTTCAATTATTTTTCTTTATAAGTACCTAGTTGTCTACCTTCATTCTACCTCTACAGGTTTAACTTTGACATTTGTGAAATCTCCAAAAATAGTTGTGTTATAAATTCATAACGACATAACCTAGTGCATAACACCACTAGTAGGGCAATCCAAACAAAATGGCGGCCAATGCCAAAAACTTGACACCATAAATTTAATTCAAACAACCGTGACATTTTGCATCAAAAAACTGTTTTTTGTGTATTTTGTGGTGTTTTTCTAGTGCTTGGAAGGATAATTTTTGTATTTTAAGATGGAGAGTTTTTAGTTCAAGAAATTATAAGTGGAAAACCCGGATATTTGCAAAAGTTATGATTTCTTTGTGACAAACCTTTACCTACTAAACAATTATTGGTAGGTACTATCGAGTCTATCCACGATTTGTTTCCTGTTTATTTTTTTCTTAACAAAATACTGAATCCTGATGTATATTTTATATTTTATTTGTCTGCTATTCAAGGTATCGACACAATTTGATGTGGAAGATAGTAATTAAATGGCGTGGATCCATATACCGTTTATGTTGAGAGACTTTTTGGTTTTTCAATACGGATTTCGTCAGATTTTTCCTCTTTTGCTACAATCCATGAAACCCTTACAAAGTACAGACCAATCGTTTTTCTCCGTTAAAAACCTGTGTTTTGTCTCTGCAGGAACGGCATAAAACGAGATTTTCTCGCGATTAGAACGGCTTCCACAACTAAGTACAATACATAACGTATGCATTTTCCAAAAAATCAACACTTTACAGGCTTCATACAAATCAAAAATCGCAATAAAACGGAATTTTTTCAAATAAAACTTTGACCTCCATTTTGAATTTCTTTTTGACAAGTCGTTGGATTGCCCTGTTGTGTTGTGAATTCATAACCTAGTCCATAAGACCACTAGTTCTGTTATGTCTCATGACATAACTCAAATACTAGAAAAATGGTTATGTAAAAACGTCATAATCAAACGCTTGTAGATAATAGTATATTATATACCTAGGTAGCGAAGTTGGTCATTATAATGCGTAAGGTATGTAATGACATTCTCTACCGAGGAATATATGGAATTTTTTTTACTACGGCGAGTAGAAAATAAAAAATAGGTTTGAAATCTGTGCTCAAGTTATTTTTTCTTGTCGAAAGTGCTGCCCTCTATCAACAGCTTATGGTAATTTTCTATGATGTACTTACAGGAACCTGTTTTTTTTCTTCAAAATTGACAGTTTGAAACCTGGTAAGTCATGACAATATCCTTGCGTCATGACTTCATTTTCATTATTAACCTCGGTATTTTTTCATTATTTTCATTATTAACCTAGGGAGAGAAATTCAATTTTTTCCTAAAAAAATAGATTGAATAATGACTACTTCTTAGATTAGAAGTAAAAAAAGCTATTTATAAGGGTACCTCTAATAATCGAATAAATATACACGCCACTGGAATAATTTTTCCTGACGTCTCACAACTTGCAGCGTTGTTGTATGTGAGAAATGAGTCACTGTCATATACAGAGTGGTTCCAAAACCGTTTTTGAAACGGTTTTTTGGCGGGTTGGAACAAACCTAAAGTAGCAACACTATTTGAATCAATACACAAGTCCAGTGGGTTAAATATTCAAGAAAAAAATATCAAAATTCAGGAAAAATAAAAACACTAAATTACCAATGCAAATTAATTAAGATTTATTACCGAAACAAACACAGAAAACCAATAAGATGTCCCAAATTAAGAACAAAATCGCCTCAATCGCCACATGTTATGTTTTCCATTTGACTTGTTCAATAATTCGGGTTCTTCTTTTTAACCCCAGTGGGCGCCGTGTCCTCCATGACCCCAACCGCCGGCGGCGTGACCTCCCCAACCTCCGGCGTGACCTCCCCAACCTCCTCCATGACCCCAACCTACTGGCAAGGGTTGGGGTTCGGGTTCTGGATGAGCCATGACGGCGAATACAGCCATGAGGGCTACAGCCAAAAATACTAAGAATTTCATTGTTGATGCTTAAGTAACAAGTTGTACTGATGAAAAGTTGCTGGAAGGCTGGGTATTTATATAGTGCATTCGAAAGGGAAAAAAATTATACAGGATGCTTAGAAATAATTACTTACTCATACAATTTTTTTTTTATTTAAGAATAGGTATAATTAATTATTAAAAAAGAAAAGGAGCGGTTTTTATATGTGTATTATAATTTATTTCCAAGTTGAATTTTCTGATTCAACAAATCTTAATTCTTGCGTTATTTTTTTTTTTTAACTTACCCAACAATAACTTATAATATAATGTATGTACCTATGATACATTGTCGAATTACGAATTAAATTTCCTACCAAAGGGAATAATAAGAAATAATTTTTAAAAAAATCGCTTGGGATGGCATTTTTGTAGATAAATTATAGTATCAGGGAAAAGCAATGGCCAATGGAGCAATTTTTTACAATATCTCGAAAGTTATCAAATGTATCGCAACACTGTGAGTACCTATTTGAGGAGTGGTCAGTAAGAATTGTAAGTTTCTCCCAATTCAATAGACGTTTTTACGTATTTTGGTAGGTACCCTGTATATTTATCTGTATTTTTATATAGAGAATTTCATACATCTGTCAATACTGGTATTCCAACAATAAATTGATATGTTTTGATTGTTGATTTGAACCAATCAGATTGTAATTAAGCGATAATTTGCACCAGTGCAAATTATCAGATAATTGCATACTAACTGATGCGAAAACTGGTGTTTTGACATTTTTTGACAAAAAAATTAAATTTTTGATTAATCAAATTCTCTCATTAAATATAACTCGTGCAATGGAAATATATTTATAATTTTCGACAAATTTGCACTCATGCGTTTTTAACTGAAAAAGGCACGCTCTTTTTCAACTAAAAATGCATTCGGGCAAATTTCCCAAAAATTATCAATAATTTCCATTGCACTAGTTATATTACTATTGATAATACGTTTCACTAAACTTAATGTGATCGTGACATCAGTTTTTTACTTCTAAAGTTTTTTTTTCCCTACATAAAGCAGCTTTTTTCTTTTATAAATTATTCCTGAAAAAAAAAGCATAATTAATACACAACCATCCAATTAATTTTTCTTCTATATTATATGCAAATTTCCATAGAACGCTTCAAGTATAAATACTAAAGCCCTACATCAACTTTTCATCAGTACAACTTGTTACTTTTTACAACCAATCAACAATGAAATTCTTAGTATTCTTAGCTGTAGCCCTCATGGCTGTATTCGCCGTCATGGCCCATCCAGAACCCGAACCCCAACCTATGCCAGTAGGATGGGGTCATGGAGGAGGTTGGGGAGGTCACGCCGGAGGTTGGGGTGGACACGCTGGAGGATGGGGAGGTCACGCTGGAGGTTGGGGTCATGGAGGACACGGCGCCCACTGGGGTTAAAAAGACGTACCCGAATTATTGAACGAGCCGACTAGGAAAACGTAACATGTGGATTTATTGAGACAATTTTGTCCTTAATTTAGTACATTTTATTGGTTTTCTGTGTTTGTTTCGTATAAATCTTGATTGATTTGTATTGGTAATTTAGTGTTTTTATTTTTTTCAAATTTGTAAATTTTTTTCTTGATTGATTCAAGCCTATAGTGGCCTTGTCTGAAAACTATTCAAAGTTTGAAGTTGGCAAGACTGTCAAAATTAGCCATGGGGCATGGAATAGTATTAATCAATAGTCCTGTTCGTTTTTGTCATCTTTTTCGTCGATTTGCTCCGAAATTTTGACAAGCACGTGATTTGTAAATTGAAACTGTCTGATTCAGTCATGTGCCTGTCAAAATTTCGGAGCAAATCGACGAAAAAGATGACAAAAATGAACACGGCCAATGTCCAGAACACGTGATTCAATTTGGCAGTTCAGGTCATATATTGTGGTGACGTTCATAAGAAAAGCATTTGTGTTCCTGTGTTGTTGTATATACCAAATATGACAATGCCAATGTCAAACCTAAACGTACAGAATGTGTCAGTCATTTTTCATTGATCAGTAAACTAAATGTAAACAACACGGTGTTTGTCCTAAACGGCCATATTGAATTTCGTTTGACAGGTCAATGGATTGCCTTCATTGGATGCAACTGTCAAGAAATTTCGCGTGTCGTTGGCAGCACTGTCGATGAAAAAATATCATAGAGAGCGTGGAAAACTGAATGATATAATTCCACTACATTTTCCACATTGAATTCCGATTTTTCGTTCAATGTAAGGTCAATGTTCTGCCAAATTTTGGTGACTACAAAAACAAATAATAGGCACAAGTTGTATTAATTTTAATGTGACACGAACTCAGTGTTGCCAATCTTACGGATTTTTGTGTAGATTTACAGAATTTTTACTTTTGACTATTTTCAATTTATAAAAATTGGATTATTTGATTCAATTTAAATTTTTCCAGTTATAATTTGACAACTTTGAAATTTTTCTATTTTATTGCGATTTTTTTTCAACAATTTTGTATATCGAACATTCAAAAATTTTCCATAAATGACACTGACACAGTTTTTGCCTCACAGCTCTGTTAATTTCCATTGGATTTCAACGTTATTACGCTTAAATTAAAACTAATTAAATTTTCTACAAACCTATTAATAAAGATTTCAATTTGATTTCAACAGTTTTGCACTTGCTGAGAAGCTTCAAAATTGAATTTATCGATCATTGAAAATTTTCCAAAAATGAGACTGAGACAGTTTTTTTGCATAGCAGCTCCGTTAATTTTCATCCGATTTCAATATAATTAAGCGCTAATTAAAGCCAATTAAATTCTCTACGAAGCTGTTATTTAGGATTTTAATTTAGGTGTACTATTTTCAAATCCAAACGGCAGTAACGTAAACAACTGGTCCTTTTCAGAGTCATGTCATTGTTTTCAGGTCAGGAAGGCAGGACCGAACTAAGACAATGCTGTACTGGACATTATAATTATTTGAGGTAGATCTCGAAAAATACCACTCAACGTCATTGAACTGCCGCATGGATTTGAAAATAGTATGGTGTCAACAGTTTTGCAGCTGAGAAGCTTCAAAATCGAAATTATCGTACATTGAAACAGGTCAGGAACATACAGGTAATTTGCTCACTTAGGTGCCGCTAAAATAATCTAGAGATAGAAAGAATATTTGTGTAAGTTAAAATAGTTGTTGATTGTAATTGTGTTTGAATAAATTTATTATTATTATTATTATTATTATTTCTGCTTCACATATTTTTACTCTGGTATATTTCCAATCGACAGGCGGTTGCCAAGTCCATTGGAGAAAAGGTCACTACTGGTTGAGAAAGTATCTTGTGATATTACAAGTTTGCAGTATAGTGGTTTTTTGAGCTTGTGAGTGTATGTTTTCATTGAGACCCAGTTGATGAAGGTGTTTAATGAATGTGTTCGGCGTGATACCTGTTGCGGAGATAATAATAGTTATTTGTGTACCAAGGCCGTAAAGTTGATCTTTTTTGGCCGAATCAGAAATTTGCGGCCGAGGCGCAGCCGAGGCCAAGCAAATTTCAGGTGAGGCCAAAAAAGATCATTCGGCCGAGGTGCACACAAAATTTTTTAGGCGAGTGTTTGTTCTTGAAAAAAGAAGAAAATTCAACAGTAGCTTTAAACTTTATTGATCAAAATAGCCGACTTTTTCGCCTGGTATCTTACATTGAGCTTTTTTTAAAAAAGCAATCAATTTTGAAAACTTGCTGATATGTTAGGTATTTCCGACTATAATTGTAAATTTTAACATAGAGTAACATAGGTGGACCTGAAGACCATAACGTTGAGGAATATTTAATTTTGAAAATACTTCTCCCAAATTTTTAATCATGCCGCTTTTTTTAGCATTATATGTGGAAATTTGGATAGAGCTAAAATTAAAAACTTGGTTTCATTGTGGTTGCTAACTAATTGTTTATTCGTTGTGTTGATGGCTACGGCACTGCGTTTCCGATTGTTTATTTTCACCAAAGTAGCGGTAGCGGCCGTAAAGTAAAAGCGGCCGTGAAGTAAAAGCGGCCGTAAAGTAATAAAGCAAATGCGGCCGTGAAGTAAATGCGACCGTAAAGTAAATGCGGCCAAAAAAGATATACTTTAGGGATGATATTGAATCCGTAAAACTGATCTTTTTGTGACAGTCGCCTAAAAAAGGAATAATGTGAACTTGTTGCTGTTCCCATATTATTTCCATTTCTATAGCTAGTTCTTGATATTTATGTTTCTTTTCGGTTTATTTTTTGGAAGTAGTATCACAGGTATTATGGTCACCCGGCACAGCCATGTCTATAAGATAGGTTTATTTTGTCCTGAAAAGTTATATCTGGTCTGTTGTGCATTATCTGCCGTGTCTTATCCGAATGTATTGTCAGGTCCCAGTATAGTTTGTAGTTTCTATTTTCTGTTATAGACGCGGGGTTATAGGTGTAGTAAGGTTGGTTTTCATCATGAAGTTTGTATTTCAGTGCAATTGCTTGACCAATACCTGCTAACATTTTACGCCCAGATATGATGTCGTCTATTGTTTCGGGTTTCGGGAAGTAGTTGACATTTCCTCATTTGTCGTTTTTCGCAGAGCCATCCTTTATGATATATTTTCTATAGTTTTGGGTGGCTATCACTTGATACTGTGTTGCCAGGACGAATTCTTCTCTCAGAATGGAGCTGGCCCTTTTTAAGGAACACATAGGTAACTATTTTGAGTTTTTATCGATGTGCTCCTAATCTACATTGTTATGATGTTTGCCGTGAAGCGGCTCACTTGACCATATTTATAACTTTTATTATGTAGTATAGTGTTTTATATTTTGTACTTCCGCTGCTAAATTAAGGGATGTATAGTGTTTGTCGATTTTTACTATAGCTTTGTGTGATGGGTGCTCTCTACTATGGAAGTACGTCCTCAGTATGTCATTCTGCTTAGCATGTAGTTCGTGAAGGTCTGCCATTCCTCTACCTGGTCTCACTTCAATGTTATCCTTTCCTTGCAGGAATTTCGATGCAATTTCCTGTGTTTTGTTATTTGTGATCTCGTCAGAATATTTATATTCTCCAAGTCTGGCTGTGGACCATTCCATTGTATCGAGGGAGTAGGTAAGGACAGGCATTGCGAAAGTGTTGATGGCTTTGAATAGGTTTATTGAGTTTAGATGGGTTTTGAGGAGTAGGTAGTCTCAGTCTTTTCTTGTAGGTGTCTCGGAGTTTTTCTTCAATGGAGGCGTGGTTTAATACTCGGTTTTGTTCAAACCCAAGGTATTTAAACATTTCATGTAACATCGTCACCAAAAGTATCTGGGACACAAATAATGCATAATAATCTCTTGGACTAATTCTACTGTCATTCATTTCAATGCATTTAAATTATAGTTTGACAAATATTTGACAATGAAATTTATATAATAGGACAAGAGCTAATGTGATGCTGTCCCAGTTACTTTTGGTGACGATGGTACTTCTATTTTTTCTACCCTTTCATCACTTAGGGTGTTCTCTATTTGGTCTATTTTCCATTTTCCCCGGTCAATGTGTAGAACTTTGAATTTGCCCATATCGAACTCCATGTTGATGTCCTTGGATATTATTTTGGTTGTGAGTTGTATAGTTCTTGCATGTCTGTAGGTGTTGGAGAATAAATGTTTATGCCATACATGTATAGGAGGTGGTTTATTTTATGTAAAGTAGTGTTTCCTTGTTTGAGTTTATATCCATATTTGGTGTCATTCAGTGCGTGTGATAGGGGGTTAAGGCACAATGCACTGAGGACATCACCCTGAAATATTCCTCATTGAATCTTTATGTATTCGGTTCTGATATATTTATCTGCAGTTTTCAGATTCATTTTTGTTCTCCAGTTGGACATTGCTGCAGAGAGGAAGTTTTGGATGGATTTCATAGATATCCATTATTTATTTTTAGCCTTCCGTGAGGCACCTTGTCGAAGGCCTTCTTATAATCTATATACGTCATGTGTAAATTATGTTGTTTGGTTTGGACGTGTTTGAGCATGGTGCTGTCTATTATCAGTAGCTCTTTGCAGCCTTTGCTCCCTTTCCTACATCCCTTTTATCCTTCTGTGAGTATTCTGTATTTTGATAGATGGGCATCGATCTTATTTAAAAGTGCTGCTGTGATGATTTTATAAATTGTGGGTAAGCAGGTTATGGGTCTATAGTTAGGTGTTTATGTGTAGATGAAATTTTTTTATACCAGTAGTTGTGTATCTGGTCTGCACCTGGACATTTCCAGTTATGCGTTTTACTTAACGTATATTTAAACTCTTCTTCTGAGATTGTGTAATTTGTCTGTTGCGGTAAGTTCTGCATCCTTTCTGTTTCTTTTCTTATCCAAGTGGCGCGTTTATTGTAGTTTTTGGGTTGGACCA